GGACGTCGCGCACCGTGCAGTGCAGGCAGGTGTTGGCGATGGTGACGGAGTAGGTGTCCACGCCGCCCGGCGACGGCGGCGGCAGGTCGGCGCCCTGCTGGTCCTGGGACTGGGACACCTCCACGGCGTCCTCCCAGCACTCGCTCGGCGCCGCCTCCGCCGCCGTCTTCTCCGCCGTGTCTGCACTCATCCCCGCCACCGCCTGTACAGCGGCTGCACAAGCACAAGTACGTGTGTTAATGTTCCCGGCGGCGTAGAGATAAGATGCATGCATCAGCCGCGCACGGTGCACGTGCGGTATTGCTTACTCATGGTGAGCAGCTTGCGGACGTGCACGGCGGCCGCCGTCTCGCCATGCTTCACTAGGGAGGACGAAGATGCAGAAACGCTGGAAGCTGCAGCTCCGGCGACACAAGCTTGAAGGAGGAGGAAGCTTACTACAATGAACAAAGGAGCTCGCTTCTGAAAGCACCTCATGGCCTCTGGTGGGATCCGAGAATCGCAACGGCGGTGTACACGAGATAATGGAGGAGAAAAGCATGTATTGCTCTTGGTCAATAATGTATACAATAGGGGAGGGGTATTTATAGCACGGGAACTACACGTACTCACTTCGATATGACGTAAATACCCCTCTCTCCTTCACCAATCTCTGACTAAGATTCTAGCAATCTCAGGGCATTTAGGTCGTTACATAAGGTAAAGTGTTGATAACTGCTAACTTTTGAGACTTTCTGTGCTTAGAGTTTTTGACCTAGCTTGGTATAGCTCTGGCTCCTTGCTACAATACGTGGAGGAGCCGGTGAAATAAAAAGTAGCAGCTTTATCAGCTCGTTTATTTAGGAAGGAGAAAAAAATATATAGCTCCTCACTACAATGCAAAGATGAGTAGTTACAGCCAGAGCCGCCCGGAGGTCTACCAAACAGGGAGCCTTCATTTGACGCCATGGAAGCTCAATCATCTAGCTTCTGGACTTGGCTTTGCCGCTCAAAGCTTCACCTCATTTGCTCAGGACTTTGGGGATCAACGCGAAGTGACATGCCCTTTGGCGGTTTAGCCTACAAAGTCGCACTTTGCAGGAATCTTCATCCAACAACAAAGTGTTGCCCCAGAAAGTCATAGGAAAACTTGTTTCTAGGTAGAGGCAATTTTTTGCTTCAATTTCATTGTTGAGATGCTTCTTTACTTGCGTGAGATTGGTGATTTGTCTAAGAATTGAATTATCTAGGCGATGGACACTTTCTCCTGAAAGATCTCTTTGCAATCTCTTTTTTTTTTTTTGGTATATCGGCGACTTCTGTGGGAGCTGTGCGATTTGCATGCTCTAGCTTCTTCTCTTTGTCTACGTTATCTAATGGTTGTACAATCATCAAGTTGAATGCATTGAATGGATCTTCGAGCTCTTGCAGCGTCACCGGCTTCGTTGTTATCGGATGATGTTTAAGGTAAAGAACCCTTCGAGAGGTCGTGGCCATGGGGGTTTACCCCTTTTGGAACCCTTCGGCCTTCGCGGGAGCCGTCCTCAAGATGTCTTGACTTTCTACAATGAACCACGATGGCGCCAACTGTTATCGTACTCCCAGAAGTCTGGTAGACATGTTTGAGGTCGTGTAGTTGAGGTCGACTGCGAAAAGTTGCAAAAGACTTAGCTGTTGTAGAAGAATTTTTCAGTTATTTCATTATATCGGCTTCTCATGTACATAAGCATGCTATTTATAGGCTGTGGCTCAACCACTCCAACTCACATTGACTGTTTCGCCATCATATGACTACTAGATATATATCCTCTAAATATTCCTTAATGACCTAAGGCAAAATGGTATTCACACAATTCCTTCCCCCATATGACTACTACATATAGCCTCTAAATATCCCTTAATGACCTAAGGCAAAATGGTATTCACACAATTCATTTATATATACTAATACAAAATTGATTTTGCGTGGCGTTGCACTTTAATTAACGGAGGCGGCCACAAAATCCAATCGCCTCGAAAAATTCCAGACGATTAACGAAGGCGGGCATTTTGATTTACGGAGGCAGTCACTTTTTCCCGTCTCGTAAAATCAATTTACGGAGGTGGGCATTTTAAGACAACCGCCTCCAAAAATAGTCTATTTCCGGAGGCAGTCGTCTTAAGGAGCTCACCTCCGTAAATCTATTTTTGGAGGCGGACACTCTATAAGGCCCGTCTCCAAAAATAGTGCCCTAGCTCGCAGCCCACAAAAAACCCATCTCTGCCTTTCTACCGGGCAACACTTGTTAACCCTAGCCTCACATCTATCATCAAGCGCCCCCTCTCCCTTCAGCCTGACGGCGTCCCGTCTCCCTCCGCGCCCCTCTCCCTCCATAAGCCCGACGTCGGAGCCCCCTCTCCCTCCCACGCGCCTCTCCCTCCGAGCCCGACAGTGCAGGCTCTCTTTCCCGAGCACGGCGGCGCGCCCTCTCCCTCCTGAGCACCCTCTCCCTTCCGAGCACCCCCTTCCTCTCCCTCGAGGAGGCTGGATCCGGCCAATGGCGACGCAGGGAGGCTAGATCCGGCCGGTGGCGGCGCAAGGAGGTAAATCCGACGCACGCTCCTCCTCTCCACCACGTCGGATCTCCTCCCCGGCGGCGCCCCTGGCCGACGAAGCGTGGCGCCCCAGGCCAGCGGAGGCGGCGGGTTGCGCGGTGGCGGTTGAGGCGCACGCACCGCAGTGGAGGCGGAGGCGGAGCACCCCTAGCACCGCTGGATCCGACGAGAAGCTCGATCCAAGCGGTCGTGCCCAGATCCAGGCGGCTCCAGGCTCCCTTCGAGCGGATCCAGGCAGCTGGCGGTAAGATCTAGTGCAGGCAGCTGGATCTAGCTCGAAGCACGGTGGAGCGGACGCGACGGCGGCGGGCTCGAAGCACGGTAGCCCTGGATGGGCTCGCGTCTGGGCTCATCTTTTTTTTAATTGATTAACCGAGACGGGCAAAGCAACCGCCGCGGTTAATAAGCATTAACCGTGACCTTTGATTGGAGGTAGTTTCTTTGCTCGCCTCAGTAAATCATTTTTGATCGCCTCCAAAAAGATTTCTGTACTAGTGATAATTCCACCTTCGAGGCTTTGACAAAGTCCTTAGTCCTTGAAGGACCGTTTGACAATGCCAGTGTAACCTTCATGTGCAACCTTCGTCAATAACTTTGACACCGGCCTCTTCACTTGGATCCACAAAAAATATCAAAGGTAACTAGCAGAGACTTTATTCGAAAGCTTGCGTTGCAGGAGATATCGAAGGTTCCTAGACAATCCATATTTTTTTTATAATTGCACAGTACAACATAGACGCATGCACACTCACCCCTATGAATACACGTACGCAAAACCTACCCTATGAGCATCTCTGAAGGACTGAGCCTAATCATGAGATTCACGTAGTCACCATAGGCGCCTCGCTGTCAACGGGGACGTCGTCTACCACTAGAAGCATAGCCGCCGTTAAATCCTGAAATAAATCTAGAAAAATGCAAGCACACGTGCCTCCATTTCACGAAGGAAAGCAAGGATTTCCATAGGAGAGGAAAACTTTATTCCTCCATTCCAAACACTATGTGATGTAAGCAAAACATAAGAATTAGATTCATGTGAAATTCTTATGAAATTCCTCAAATCCAAATAGGCCCTAGTATCTCCAAGGGTCTTTCTAAATTTAATCTCTAACTCATCATTTAAAGAATCATTGAGTAAAATCGTTTTTATATATCATCCAACAACTTTTTCTATATCTTGTATGTGATATAGTTCCTCGCTAATCTTAGATAATCTCGAAGAGCTTTTCTAAACTTAGTCAGCATAGTGCCGTTAAATCATAAAATAAATCCAGAAAAATAAGAACAACCATGCCAAGTCGAGGAATTGACCCGGGTAGACGGGTTCCACCACAAAGAATCCAACCAGCTGATCTAGATCTTCGTAACAACGATCAGCCTGTTCGTTGGTTGGTTTCTGAGTTAATAAACGCAGCTAGTGTTGATTTGTTGTGCGAAAAAAACACTATATCATAGCTAATAAGCCCTAACCGAAACAAACAAGACGAACAGGCTGACTAAAGGTTAAGTAGTTTTAATGGCCGAAGGTGGGGGACTCAATGTCTGGGCTCGCTAAAAGTGAGCACCTAGAATTAGCAACCTGCCTTCTACTGTTAGGAATTCTCTTGCACAAGACGGGTTTTGTCGGCCTACCGATCGGCTGGCATCAGAGGTTGGTCAGCTGAGCATCAGATAGATATTTGTGCGCAGAGTATGGTCTCACCATTCATACACCGACAATGTGCTGTCATGTTCTGAAAGAAACGAATTCACCACCACCTGCACCTTTTAATCAGAAGGGTTCATGCACCTTTTAATCAGAAGGGTTCATAAAGCTGATACAATCCACCATCACCTGCAAGTTTACTCTTGATGCCACACAATGCCTAGCCGGTAGGCAGTACCAGTAGCAGTAGATACTCCAGGCAGATCACAGATTCACAGGCAAGTCCGAAGACTGCCGATCTGCCCTGTGCACCTTCACTGCACCCACATACTAGTAAAGAGTACCGAACCAATGAACGGACAGATATATCAAACTATGCCAAGCAGTTCGGTGAAGCGAGAAATGAGGACACCGGCATAATACAGCATGATGCACAAAGAAACTTATCATCCTGTAGAGCAAAATATACGAGCACTTGTATTGCATGACACCATGGAGATTGCCCTCTGCTAGACACGACTTTGGCATGGTTGGTCCCGCCATGGAAGCTGAAGCTGAACGAAAGCGGAAGCTACCACTTCACAACAACAACAGATGAACGGTCAGCAGCTCCGACTAAAAACCGAAGGGGCTCTGTTTATTGACCGCCACTTCAAGGAATAATTTATTTTCCATCAAACATCATGGTAATAAACATCTAAATTAGCACCCAAACCCTAAATACAATGATGGTACACACAAAACATTCACATGTATTTGTCTTATGCCAAGTGATGGCCCCCTATTCCTTATACCCAGTAAATGTCAGGGAAAATGTACAGCCTGCTCCACTAGCCACATTAAACCACTCCCAGTTAGAAAATGTCCTGTACCAACCTGAAATACACAAAACACATCAGTTACCACAAGGTTTCATCAGTTGGACTAGCAAAGAAACTACATGCACTCACATTGATTCATGCTAAACAATCAAGCAGACATTTTGAATTGACAAATTTCACATAGGCAGTGTTTTTAAGGCATCGCCTAGGTGACAGCACTCGCGGAGAACAAGGCGTCCCCGACACCTAGCCAAAAGCAGTTTGAGCCGAGGGGTTTGGAGAGCAGAACAGAGGAAATCGATAGGGAACCAACCAGAAAGGCCATGGAGCCGCCTGGGTCATCTGCGGCAGCAGCAGCTGATCCAGAAGGGGGCCACAATAGAGATCGGTCTGTTGGAGAAGAATAGTGAGGGGAAGCAGTGAGAAGCAGGAGAGGAGCGGAGGCCAGGTTGAGTGCGCGTGAGCAAGAGCAGTGTGAAGGATATGAGTAACAAGCAAGTTGTCTAGAGATGAAACCCTACACAATGCCACAAGGATATAAATAGTATTAACAATGCCACCAAGGATATAAATAGTATTAACAGAAGTGTAGGCTATGATCATTCGGTAGATTGCTGATCAGATCCTAGCAGTTTTTGTTTGCTTCTTTTTATCCTGCTCAACTTCACTTTTATTTCATGGGGCATTGGAAATCATCTCCAATGCAGTGTTCAGCATGTTCAATTACCCATCGGCTACTCGAATCACAAACTGCAATCTAGTTCATAAAACATAGCAACTAATCCATCACATAAAGAGGCTGATCGTCTATCCTTACCATTTGATGAACTCTATGCAGATCCCACTTGGATCATATAGAACACTAGGATCTTACCAGGTTTAATGCAACAAAGCATCCACACTGGTGTTTCTCTTTGTATCAACCACAATAACCTGATAGCCCTCCACAGTAAAAATCAAGATTCTGGAAGCCAACTTTGCCAGATTAGTAGCAAATTCAGCTATCCCAGTGTGATGTCCAAACTACTCTGAATCAGTATCTAATGACAAACACAGACGAGGCCTAACAGACCGCGGTTGGCGAGGATGAGAAAATATATTTTCAATCCTTCTTGGATTTAGATTAGATCCATTACATCTGTTCATGCTTGGGAGAGCAGAAGCTGCAATTGAGAACAAAAATGTTACAACAATAACATGTATAGTATGCAGATAGCTGTCGTTGAGAACACAGCAGCAATAAGTCCGGATTCATTAAACCAAATTTGTAGTATCAAACTATGAATACTACAAATTTGGTTTAATGAATCTGGACTCACATTTGAGCAATTGAGCTAGATAGTTCTTTTTTATTCTAGTAATTAATAAATCATCAAAACTGTTTTCTATGCAAGCATAGAATCCATAAAGCTCTGCAACCAACAGATATTACAGGACCACAAGCTAATACAAGTTGATAAGAAATGGAAAACCTTCAGAAATTAGGTTTTGATTAAACTCAGTTCACGGTCATAGGTATGCTGTATGCATATAGACATCATTTTGACAGTTTTGAGTACAAGGGGATAAGTTGAGCCACTCAGCATCAAGTGTCATTTATTACCCAGAAGTAATCAAAGGCAGATTCTAAAAGTTGCTAAAATTCTACTCATTCATTTTATTGACTAGAGAATTAAATAGTTTATGGGGATCTATTTTAAGATATCAGACTTTGCACATTTTCTATGGGAAAAAAGTATGACCTAAGATGCCTGCCTTCAAAAGTTAACCTTGATGATCCTGGAAATGGTTGACAGGCTACCAAAAAGAAAAGGAAGTGTAGCAAACCGTTATCTTAGAAGCAAAATGATCACAAAAGAGAAGAATTAAATTCATAAAAGGGAGACAAACCAGCATCAAGTAAAGGTTCGACTCCTGCCTCTTTCGATGGAACTTTTGGCTGTGATTTTAGACCATCAACACTTGTAGACTCTTCATTACCCCCTCCACCGGCCGCAAGCGTAAGAGATATCCTCCAATCATCAGGGTGGACTCCATTTGGAGTATTAACATGCTCACTTAGTTCTTCCTGAAGGGGAACAGTGGAAGGTTGACTTGGAAGAAAAATTTGCAAAGATGGATCGTCGCCTACTAAAGCCAATGGGTTATCAACCAAGCTTCCATGCACATCATTACTGTTTCGGCAAATTGAAACATCGTGAGCTGCAGAGGGATCCTCTATGCCAACATTACAGTCAAGCGAGTAGTCTTCTGGTGCAATATTAAAGGAATTATGTGGACCAACAAAAGGATTGCCAACATCAGTATCAGTCCCAAAAAACTGGAACCCTTGCTCTGGTTGTGGATAAGAATGCATTTGCCAGTTATTTATTTCAAAATCACCAGTATTGTTGCTCAATAAACCAAGGCCACTTGTACCAACGCCAGCAATAGCATCCTCCTGGTACCTTTCAGGATATCCAGTTACAGGAGCATCAGTGACGAAATGAAAACTGTCACCATTTGTAGGAGTATTTGCATAGACAGGTGGCGGGCGAACAATCGGGTCATTTTCTTCATCAGAATCACTAAGAACAATGACATCAGCAGCATTATGTTGTGGCTGTTGTTGTCTATCCTCTGTATTGTCTGTCTGACCAAAATTATGTGCAAAACTGTCAAACTCTTGGTTCAATGCTATATCAAATTGAATACCACCCCCTTCTTGGTTCACACTTGCATCTTCGCCATCTCGGTAACTCCCAGTGGGGCTACTGATAATAGGCATGTTTGGTGTTGAGAACCCATTGATGTTTTGGATGTGATGTCTAACCACAGGTTTTTTATCATCTGCTTTACTGCTAACCTGCCATGATCCATTAGGTTTTTTTTTAATTTTCAAAGTTCTATGTCCATCAGAAGTACCCTCTCTCTTGAACTCATTAACACTTGTGACACCAGGGTTTGTATCTTCCTTTGAGTCACAAAGAGTACCATCAGGCATATGCCACTGAGATAGATCTCTGGTAGCGGCATCACCCTTCACACGCCATGACCCATCTGGTTTAACATCAAGCTCATTAACATCTTCACTGCAATTGTGCAACTACATCCAAAATGAAAACAGAAATCAACTCACATAACAAATTCTAGCATAAGGCATAAAATGTGAGACAAAACCCTACCAAAGAAGTAATCCGATTGAAATAAGCATCGATCATCAAGTTCTCGAGAGAGTAATTCTTTAAACATATTGGGCATTGCCACTGCACAAAACTAAGAACAGTCAATCAGGAAGGTAGGATACAAAATATGAAACCATGTAAAATGAAAAACATGATATAAATAAATCAAGTGTGGCAGAGGAAAAGAGCACTTATATAGGGTAAAGATGGTTCCTCATCCATAGTCCCTATACCCCCCATGGACTACTGTCCAAGGGTAGCCTAGTTTGGCTAACCTTGCATGCATCTCAAGCATGGCGTGATCATGCCCATAAAATTATTAACAGAACATTTTTTTTCTATCTCACTGTATTTCCTACTCAAAAACGATAATAGAAAAATGGCATTCTTGGGTATTCATGATCATTGATCAAGTGTATTGAACCAGTCCATACTCTTATTGCGCAGGCAAAAATTAGGCCTGGTCTGGGCCAAAGCCCAACTACAACAGATGTTCAAAACAGGCCTAGTTACAATATATATTTGAATGTGCTTCTGCAAGCACAAATTCTGACCTTGCGTGAGCGTTGATTCAATTCCACAAAAGTTTCAAGATCAAAACAGCCCATGTGAACACAAGGCTTGAACCTTCCAGCAATCCTCATTCTGGATCCACTATTCTGAAAAATAAAAATACATTAGATACAATTCCAATTGCAAATTGCACCGGAGCGGCTTAGCTCAACATGCCAGCTATAGCCAACCAGAAAACATATACTTTAAAGACCTAGTATAATGATTATATTTGCTCTTGAGTAAATGCATAACAGTTAGCAACTCTCCTAATACTACTAAGCTAGGTAGGCACAGAACCACCTGACAGAGTAAAAGTGGTTTGTTACTACCTATACCTATATGATGAAAAAAATTGAAAAAGGTAAATGGTACTGACATATATGTAACAAAGCCAAACAAAAAAAAAGTCATAAAAAACATATATATGCAGAACAACACTCACAGGGCAACGAAGGTTGACTGTAACAGATTCAGTAACCACTTCCAGATCGCTATCACTATCAGCATTGTCTGTAGCACCTCCACCTCCAAGACAGCGACGGACACGAGCAAGAGCATCCTCAAAAGACTCCCCTTCACCTTCCTTTGGGATCAAGTTTAATACCTGGACATCAACAATAGTGTCAAGGAGAAAGAGAAGAGTAAATGGAGCACAGCTCGGTGAATAATGCACTAAATATGTTAATAGAATTAGTAGTTTTTCCTTTCAAGGATAATTCTTTTTTTTTTAAACATAACAGGAAATTTTAAAAAAAATGGTAGCTTTAACAAGAATTGTCAACACAAAATATTGCTGTCTAGATGATATTTAACATGAAACAAGCTAAAAGTTGGCAATACATTCTTTATACACCATTTACAGAACAGGAAATCATGTGATCCTATAGTCATTTCAACTACATGATATGTAGAAAGCCAAAGGAACAAAACCTGAGGAACAGTCCTCCTCCTAACAATTCGAACTCCAAAGCAAAAGGTTCGGGCATCAACTCTTGATAAGCTAATTTTATTGATCCCTTCTCTACTGCATGTGGTTACCTGCAAAAACATACAAGAATGACAAATTTAACCCATGAACAGAACTTGAAAAAAGAATTTCAGAGTAATACAACATTGCGATCAAATTATCATATCAACTACAAAACTGAAACTAGGTCTCCATATGCTAGAAATGTGCACCCAATTGCTTTCTATCTCTGAATGTACAGATAGAAGAGTATAACTTGAATCTTGCCTCATAGCATGTTTCATATCAGCACTAGAAATCTCTTGATAAAACCTGACAATGGCTATTGCATCATGGACTTGCCTCAAATCAACTACAGGGCTATGTGCTAATGTGTTATTCAATTTTTTGGGGGAAATGGTCTATTAATATAATGTCATTCTGTATGCTCATGGTTTATTTCATATTATTTTTCCCAATGGCATTCTTTAGCCTTACAATCCTACTACTCCTATGATGCAGATTGCAGGCTAGCATCATTGAATATAAACTTGTGTGTTCAGCCAATTTAAGGCAAGACGCTTTCTGCCAAAAAAGAGAAAATAGTATCCATGGATCCTCACATGCACCACATCGCAAGAATGACATGATACATGCCACAATCCAGCTCAATGTAGAAGTAAACCATGCGCTTCACTAGCTAACTGTAAACATTGAGTACCATATTTGTAAATGGTTTGGCCAAAATATGTGCATCTGAACCAGGTGATGGCCAGCAAGCACCTTCACAAACAAAGTATGAACATGTGCTCCAGTATCTTAGCCAGTAGTTTAATATAGCATTCCCCTTTCAAGTTTTCAGGCTCACATAACACTATTTCCAAGACTATGCCATGAATCAAGAACATGCAACATTTTATAAAAAAGGGGGGATTAAAAGGCCATTTTTCAACCCCATAACTCCTGGCTTCAGGAAAGCAGAAGAAAATCAAGTGGATCCTGTATCATGCCAAAACATATGCTCTTAAGAATCTCAAGAGGACTGTCCCACATGTACAAAAAAATTGTCAAATTGCTAATGTGCTCAGATCTTGTTAAGAGTGCCATATAGTGATAAAGAATGCTACTAACTTCAGTCATATATAGTTGACATTACAGACAAAAAAACAAGGAACAAACGAGCTTGGTTTCCCTGTCTGAGCATCAAGTACAAACGACTGGAGGGAGTATAAGCCATAACAGTACCCTCAAGTGAATGGAGGGAGTATAAGCCACAAGAGTGAAGACCTCAAAACAAGCTTAACGCAGACATACTTAATGTTACTAACCCCTTCATATACTTCACACAAAAACGGATGAAAAACAAGCCACTGTATTCTAATGGAGTTCATTTAAAAGGTACAACTGACCCAAAAGAACATGCCCAAAAGATAATGGAAACGCTTGTTAGACCCCCCACCCACAAAAAAAAAACCACCACCACCAAATGAAATAAAGAGGTAGTACCAAATGTCCGTCCAACCAGCATCCAGATCCTACCAGCGGGACAAAGTAAGAATAAACTCACCAGTGGTCCATCATCCCGTCCATTTATCCCTAGTAACTGAGAACCGGGCCTGGTCATTACTCGTACAGGAATACCTGAACAAACAGAACTAAATATCACACCGGCAGTCACTTAATTTCGCAAAAATATCAATGTAAATTAAACCTATATGGCTCAGATATATCTATACAACATATAAGCCAAGATTTGAGCCCAAATGCATTTTAATAAATCCAAGTTATACAATAAAATTTTATGCATTACCATTCACTTGCAATTCTGCATATTGAGGCCATTGCATCCTGAACTGGACTTTGTCATTTATAAGAATGCACCAAACCTGTCCACAAACCAACAACACAATCGGTAGTTAACAGGACTGTGCAACAGAACCAGTCGTTTTTTCTTTGTTGGATAGGACATGAGAAATCTTAATACATCAAATCAAGACCTTTTTGACAGAAGCTCTCAATGTGCAATACTCAAGTCTCTATTGCACACACAATTTGCAAATGATTTACGTAGATAACTCATAAGTGGGGTAGACATGAGAAAGCAAAGATATTTGATGTTAGAGAAAGGTCATAATCATACATAGCTATTTTCCATCAGCGTACTATGCATGAACACTATGTTAAAGAGGTTGATTCAATGACAAAGTTCAGACACTCCGAGTGACCTAATCTCACATACACCAATGTTTTCTTCCTCAGTGCTTTAAGGTTTATTTATGGCATAGCATAATCACCGATGTACTATGCGTGAACACTATGTTAAAGAAAGAACATAATCATCCACAGCTAAGATTTATTTATGGCATAGCAGCATCATGTCATTAATAAAGTGTGCAAGATTTTTATCAGGATTGAGGCAAATGAAACTTAGGTTGTGGAGGAGAGAGCAAACCTGGAGATCACATTCTGGTCTCTGGACTGTTTCTCTATCTGCTCGGGAAAGTTGGAAGGTCTTCTCCACAATTTGAGGTACACTTGCTCTAGAGATATGAAGGTTTCACAAGGAAACATTTATGCATCAGCAACACAGTAACATCAATGCAGATAGTATACAAACTAAAATAGCAGAATAGTTTAAGTCTACTCAAATGACATGCCATTATCTAGCATATATGGGCCAAAAGCACAACTATGGACCACCTTATCATAGAAATGGCCACATATATCATACGTTGGATGCTGTGTCAGACTGATAATGCATCTTTTAAGAACAGACCAATGAACATTGTACGGCACTACATGCAAATGAGTACTAGTGTTATACATTCATATCAATGAGTAAAAGCTTGTATTGGCAATCAACAAGACTGCGAGGATTATCATGTCAAATCTAACAGAGGAATTTAATTACTAACCAAAGATCCTGAACTGAAGTATATATGACTGTTGTTGAAGATATTAGTGTTTGTTGATTGGGTAACAAGGATATACTTATGTATAGCACAGCATCAATGGCATAATATAGATATCCATATGGCTAAAATAATAATTCCTGACAACAATGGAGCGTCAATTTCCCCTCAAACCTAAAATTGACATTAACTATGACACGTGTAATGTACTTGTATTGACAATCCCCCCAAAAAAAAGAAACAATTAAAGAAATGCACATTAGGTAAGGGAATGATTATTGTTGTAAGATAAACTATTGCCACCACAACAAGTTCCATTATAGACCCACCCATCATTTCCAACACCAGATGACATAAATTTCACAGGTAGTAATGGATTTCCTGTAGTCACCCAAAACCTGCAAATTCGAAGGGTGGAATTAAGCAATGAGAACAAGAATTGCAGACAATAAGAAATTCTAAATAAAGTTGTTCAATTGCAATGCCAACTTCAGAGCACCTATACAGATTTACAAGTCTCATCAGCGGCTTTTGTTCATAATACATTCGAGGATCTAACCAAAAGGCATAGTAACTTCAATTGCGTAGAAAACTAGAAACATCAAGCATTTTAGTCTTCAATAAGTAGGCTATCTTTACATGTTATATTTGTTGCAAAAGGAAATAAACCATCAGCATGTTCTGGCCAAGCAAAGAGAAGAAAGAGCTTAGGCCTTAAAGGCACACTATTAACTCAGGCAAAGACAACAAAGAGTGTCGCTTAACCTACAGAGTGATCATACAAGTATCCAGCTTGAAAAATCAAAGAATGGGTGTAACAGTTCACATAAATACAACAAAAGGTTCAGCGCATACCGCAGTTAAAAATGGCAAGTTCAATGGCATCCATATGTGTACCAAGTACTGACATAAAAAATATCAAACTTACAACAAACATTCAATCAGACAACCAAGCAACCAGTAGCATGGGCTGTTAAACCAGAGGTTATGGGATCAATTACCAGTTTACCAGATCAATCAAGTGTAGGAATTGGTAGAACAAGAGAGGGGGGGTTCTAATAAACCCTGGGTGAGTGAAAAAAGGTCACACTCTAAAAAAGGTAAACCATACAGGAAAGGAAAACCATAGCACAGTTCATTCACAACATTTTAGCTATAGCAGGACATGCCAAAAGCCACTCTTGAAAAAAAAAAAATAGTGAAACAAAGAAAGCCAAACAGATTGTAGCAGAACATACGGGTCTGCCCGGCTCAGTCGGCACAATTCACAATAAAAATGAGGTGGAATATCAGGGCCAGCACCCTCCGTGGGCTTATCTGGAATGAGTACGCAGGTAATATGCTGCCAAACCTGGCATTTGCCATCTTCGCACTGCAGGAAACAAGATGCAAGAAAAAAGATTAACAAGGCGCATGACACCAAAACAAACAGGTTGCGGTTAAGATAAATTGTTTCACGTCCTATGTGCTTTTCAAATGAAAACAAAAAAAATGCACATATATAAAAGGGTAAGATACCTTGATCATATTGTCATTTAGCATTGTGCTATTGCAAAGGCAGCGGACCTTAGCCTCTACATGGTAGAAGTCAGAAGATTCCTCTTTGGGCCTGAAATGATTGAAATCTGATCCACTGTGGCTCCTGGAGGGAAGGTCAGGAGCACATCCTTGCATTTTCCTGCTAATGAAAGCGAGGCACCAAAAGGAATTAAGTCAACAACTTCATCTGACATAGTCAACTCTCTGGTATGTATTCTTGTACTGAAAATTTAGAAACAGATGGAATGAAACCTGTATGTGTCATCAACAACTTTTGCCACCGCCTCCCTTGTAGGAGCATTTCTCCTTCCCCATCCATGATGGCGTTGACCTGCAATAAGCAAATTGAGCTTAAGAGCCAGATTTCATGGAAAGACCAAACTTAGTGATTCAGAAGAAGAAAATACGAACTAGCTGATGCTCTAAAACGGAAGAGATTTTTTATTGACCAATCATCAGCTCAAGGACAAATAAAGAAATGACCCATATTATTAAACTACAATGGCACAGATTTGCATAACAAACTTACTGGCTTGAGCACAACTGAAAAGTAATATTGAACCATAAAAAATGCAGCAGTTAAAGACAGCAACATAGGGGGGGAGCAAATATGCAGCAAAGACCGGCCATACCTTGCTCGTCTGATAATATTGCCAATACCCTGTCAACAAGGTCCTGTGATCAACGATTATGAAAAATGGATCAGATACCATCAAGTGCAAAGCTGAGGCAAGTATAGTGAAGATGAGATTCTGAATGTGTTCATTCAAGGAGAAAAAAAGAAGATGGTTCTGATTTCTGAAATTGCAATACTGAATTGAAGCTTGTCCTACAAACCCATGGTTACTGCCAAAGCGAGTTGTGCACAGCACTACAGCAGACAGACCCAACAATGATGTACTGCCAGATGGCTAGTTCGCCCTGGACACTCGTATGCCATGCTTCCATTCAGTTGTAGTGTAATCATACACATCCAGGAGTAGAAACAAAGTGCTCGAAAGCCAAAATAAGAGAGCAAAACAATTGCTGACCTGCTTCTTTCCTTGCTTCGGTAACCCCAGCTGATTTAAGATATCCTTGAGCTCCTTTATTCTAAAATACGCAAGTTTATCCTGTGACAAACAAGGAAAGAATCAGCGTGTGAGATCTTCAAGAGCACCGTTCCATGTTGCTGCGCACGTGAAGTACACCACCACACTTGCCATGTTTGATCCATGGGCCGGAAAAAACAGAACTACCGACTCTAGAACGATTTATAAAGAGCGAATCTTGTCGGTTAGCGATGCGCTAGCTAGGAGCAGCTTAAATGAGTGCTGCGTCATGCAACGGAAGGATCCAGCACTACCTATCAATCAGTACAACACATGAGAGGTTGATTCAGCGGCTAAGACAGCACACAACACCTGCCCAACAACACACACAGCTCTATCCAAAGCTCGGGGCTGGACTACAACGGGCAGCATGCCCGGACTAAGAAGCCGAAGCGATTCCACATTTGAAAAGAAGGCACTGGTGCCAGCCAGCGCTGGAAAAAACTAGGGTCGGAGCTCTCAGCCAGTCCATCCCATCCATCTAAACCTCGGCACGGGATTAACCGCCGGGCGGCAGCGAGGCGGCGGCAGGGGCGGGAATCCCACGGGCCCAGCTGAATCCCCCGGGAAATTCGAGGGGAATCGGCGGAGATCGGGTGGCGAATTGGGCGCGGGCGGGCGTATACCTTGCAGGTGGAAGCGAGGTCCGACATGGCCAGCGCCCGCGCGAGGAAACCCCTGGAGGGGCACGGGCATGGGGAGGGGCCGATCGGGGCCCCCGGCGCCGGCGAGGAGATCCGGCGATCGGGGCGCCGAATTGGGGACGTCGGCGGTCGCGCGCGGGGGCTTCTGCTGCTGCTGCGGCGGCGGCGGCGGCGGCGGCTCCTCCCTCGCGTGGCGTCTCTGTGGCCTCCGCCGTTTGCGTCGACGACGGCTGCCTGGACGGGGGGCGGGGTTTTCCTCTCTCTCCTCCACCTCTTGGCTCGCGTCTCGTCGCGCGTGCTTGTGGGACGGGTTCGTCGAGATGGGAGAGGAGAGAGACTAGAGAGGGGGCGGTTTCTCTCTCCTATTCAGCCGCCGCGGCGGACGTATCGGCCGCTATCAAATCCGGTTTTTTGCGGGGCCGTACATGTCCGCGACCCACCCAGCCGGCGTGTGGGTGGGGGTGGGGGGTTGGTCGTGCCGTGCCCTGCCCACCCGCGCTGTGCATCACTCGTGGCGTCACCATGGAGGCGTGGACCACCCCGGTCCAAGATGGGCCGGGGCTGACAGGCTGTGGCTGTGGCTGTGGCTGTGGCAAATCGTTCGGCTTATACGACTGGATTATAAGTTGGAAGTACCGTTGATTGATTTGGTGTGAGAGAAGGCTTATAATTCACGATCATTTAAGCTGAAACGAACAGGCTGCGTAAGCTGTGAAAAAACTGCTAGCTGCCTGCAATGCTCCTAAATGTCTAAGAGACTGTTTATGCAATTCGATCAAAACATAGCTTTGTTCACTGATTTACATATAAATAGCCATTTAAGAAAAGGCAAATTACTTTTTTGACTTACGTGTCCACCATTAACATCAAGTCCCCATAAATATAACGATAGAAAGTTACAAAAGATATACAAGCACGTCCTGGTCGACAAAATTGTCTTCCTCACGCACTAACCAACACATTCGCTTAATGGTACTCATGGTATCCGCATTCTCTCCATCTGAACTCTCGTCTCCTTGTTCTTGTGTCGCAGAGTTGCTTAGATCTACTAGGTACTCCTCGTCAACATCTCATCTATCGAACTCCCTATCATGCAAATTGTTATCACAAATAAAGTTATGCAACGTCTTACATGCAAGAATGATATGCTTATGAGTATGAGTATAGGAGCTCGGGATTTCCTTCATCATACGCCTTTTCCTTCGAGACGTCGAAAGATAGCTCAATAACATAAGTGTATGGACTGCTCGTATAGGTTAAACAATACTCCCTCGATTCCAAATTATGAGACGAAGGGAGTATTATCTATCACACGTGCTCTCTTTCCTCTTTACTAAGACATCCAGAGCAACTGGTTTGCCTCCATGGGGCCATGAGCTTTAAGATGGACGCACCGCTGATGGTGGAGGTGGAGATCAACGGAGGGAGAATGGAGTACTAGATCAATGCTCCAAATTAGAGGGCCACGGTGATCATCATGATATCCACCTACACAGACACCGTGAGAGCGGGGGACCAAGCGCTATGGCTTGAGGCTCCAATAGTCTCCATGCCAGGAGCTATCCGAGATTGATGCAGTCGTCGCTGAGTTCAAATATTGTGAACAGAAGCATAGGGAAGGGGCAAGTGAGGGCCAAACAGCTCCTAAGGTTGCAAATTTCCCTTAACATCCCCTCTAATTATTACACCAATTAAGATATTTATTAAGTAAATTAGCCTTTTGTAGTGCAAAACATACATATATCCAAATAATAAAATAGTATAAGTATTGTTATTTTCGTTAAAGTAGAGATTATGCGTGCATACAATTCTTTTTTTGTTGTTGACAATGCCCCTCCACTCCCTGTCAAATTGCTAGCTTTGCCTCTGATTGTGAGGTTGATTTGGTTAGGGTGAAGTTGATGTGAGCGCCTATGACTCGATCTGGATGATTAATAAAGTCAATCAACTGGTCATTAAGGAGGGTGACAAAATAAATGTACTACTATAGGAGCAAATGTCAAATGTTGAAATTTAGAAATATTAATATATAAGAATTTATCCGATCAAATAAATTATATAAATGAAGGTAAGAAATTAAGAGAGCAAGAGTATAGTCAGTGGTGAATAAAGGTGGTTAGCTACTAATACTACTGACCAAATCAGTAATGCGTATCAAAGTCAAGATCATTGTGTTAAAAAGGCATCGATCACAACGAGGATTCGACGAATCAAGTTCATCACTATATATATACTATAGTTGATTTATCTTTAACTTTACCATCGTCTTCCTTTCGTGGAAACCAATTCTCGTTGCCTTCTTTTCGTGCGTTATCCTTGTATATTTGAAACTGAAAATAAGCCGGATTTACATTAGGAAGTCGTCTCACATCTTGTAGGGCTCGAGTTTACAGATTTTGCATTTCCATTGTTCCACAAAAACGAATGTATCTAGTTCATATGGAGGAATTAGCATTACAAAAATGGCATGAGTATACTCCTCTGTCTCACAAAGAATGCAATTCTCGAATTTTGAGGAGTCAAATATTTTGAATTTTAATAAAATTGTAAAAAATACTAACATTTATGATAAAAAAATAATTATAGAATATATTCTCATAATAAATTTATTTGGAAACATAAATGCTAATACTATTTACTATAAAATTGGTTAAACGTTTGACTGACACGGATTCCATAATTATAATTACTTTTTTTCCAGTACAGAGGGATTACATATTTTGAAAAAAGCCCATCCATACAAAAAAATTGCAATTCTATATTTAAGACTAGCCAAATGTTCTCGAGTTTGACCTATTCATAAAAATATCAACATTTATGAGTCCAAATAGATTTACTATAAAAATATATTTAACCAATCTAATAGTGCGTAGATTCTATTTGGATCCATAAATTAATAGTTTGCTCCTTTGAATCTAAATGGATCCAGCTAGTTGTTAGTTAATAGCTAGCGAACAACTATCTTACTAGTTGGCTCAAACCAGCTAATAATTATCTACCTAATACTAGCTACGAACTATTAGTTAGATAGCTTTTAGCTCTATAGACCCAAACAGAATAGTTAACTCCTTGGATTCAAACGGGTCTAACTTATAGTTTAACTATTTATTAGTTGAATATCTAAGTTACAACTATTTCACTAGCTGGATTAAACTAGCTAATACTATTAGCTACGAACCAGTAGCAACTAATATTCGCTATGAAATATTAACTACCTAACTATTATAGCTAATAGATCCAACCAAGACCTTATTTGATATAACTAGCTAACTATTAGTTGTTTTTAGCTGATTTGACCTAACTAGTAAAAATGGTTGTTAGTAGAATATTTAAGTAACAATTAGCAAGACTGTTAGTTAGATTTGTTCACATCTAAAGGAACTAATTATTAGTACCTAACTATTTCGTATTAGCTCTAGGGATCCAAATAGAAGTCTTAAAATTTGTTTGGTTCATCAGAAAATAAAATGAGAATTGCATTTTTTTAGGAGAGAGTATTAGGCCATGGCCATTTATCCTACAATTTCATTAGCGGTTAAAATGTTGCATTTATAAACCATAAGAAATATCTCTCTGTTCTAAATTATAAGTTATTTTGGTCTTTTAGATACATACTCAGCCTGCTCGTAGCAGATTTTTTTGGCTACAACCGTGGGCTATTTGACGCAGTATCTACATTAGATAGATAGCAATTCACTGTTTGCAGCCACGGTCTGCAGCTGCAGTTTGAAAATCTGCGGCGAGTATGGACACTATGATCTAAGAAAGTCACAAAGAATTGTAATTTGAAATAGAGGGAGCATAAATGACAATGGCACTGTTCGCTTCTCTTATAATCCGTCTTTTTCAGCTTGTTTTTTTAGCCGGAGCAGTATTTTTCTCTCACAACGAATCAGTCGGAACCGGGCCAATATCCATAGGTCCGTACACATTTTGCAAAAACGAATCTATCTACTAGTGGTTCATAGACAAGAATTAGCATTTCAAAATGGCACGAGTATATATATTTCAAAAATACGTGCGAGGCCAACAGTTGCGTCAAACGAAGAACCGGGTAAAGAAAAGAAGAATTCGATGGCGGAATTTCGGAAGTTTCCGTTTCTTCTTCCCCCGGGGTTAGCGACGGAGAGTCGGAGACGACGCAGAGGGCAACCGCCCGACCCCACACGTCAGTTGTTACTGGGCGGCCTGGGTAGTTGAGCGCTGCCGTGCCGTTGCGCTAGTCGCGAGGCAAGCGGCCGATCGCCGCCGGTTCCGCGCTGCCAGGTGGGGGCCCACATCTGGCGGCTTACCCGCTTCCTCCTCCAGCTCCGATGCACCACGCCTCCCCCTCCTCCTCCTCCGCCGCGGCGCGCCCCGGGACAGAGGAGTTCCCAGTGGACATCGTCAGCGACGAGGAGATGGCGCTCATCGATGCCGCGCTCGCCGCCGCCGAGGCGGGGGCACGCCCCCTCCTCTCCGCAGCGGCCCGCCGCGCCGCCGTCCCGCTCTCCTGCGCGGCGTACCCGCCCGCCGCCGGCGACATCGAGGACACGCCTCTGCCGCGGAGGTCTCGGCTCGCTCGGTTCCGGTAGCGCCGCGCGCTCGCCGTCACCGATATCACTGCCACGGTGACGCCGCCGCCCAAAGCTCGCGCCTTTCGCATTTCGTTGTCCAAGGTCGCGCCTTTCGCATTTCGTTGTCTTGTCTTCTGGCCAGATCAGATGTGCTCGTGTCGAGTGATTCTGGTGGTGACCGTACTTCTTGCTGCAGGAATGGTGCGAGAAGCAGATGGAGTTCGTGCTCGAACGGGGCAAGCCGGAAAAGACCGTGGCCATGAAGGTCGGTTCGGACCGCCATGCCCAGCTCGAGCAAGAGGTGAGCCAACATTTCTGATTCTTCCAAGCGGAATGCTTTGCCTTTTCCACCATGATTTCACCATGAAAGTTTCTCCGAACGAATCTCATCCCGACCTGTTTCCTTTTCGAACAGGTTGTTGAGAGAGTGGACGTTGCCATTAGATCTGCGGAAGAACTATGGGCAGTAAAATTCATGAACTTCATCGTGGGAACAAACCAGCTAATGTTCGAGGGCATGACACGGGAAATTCCAGTGTAAGCCCCAGCAGCTTCGCCTCTTCTCTGTGCAACTGCAAACCAATACTGTGTACCGATGGAAATACTCTGCTATGTTGTTGGTTTCCAAAGTATATATGATGCTTTCCATCTTAGGGAGCATCCTACTCAGTAGGTCTGATAGTAAATCATGTTGTTGCAGGATTGGGGTTGTCGAAGGTTCATGGATGATAGGAATTATAGATGAAATCCAAAGAGTGAAATACACTGGCGGCCCTTTAACTTGTCGGCCTCTGCCAATCCGGTCCACGAACTTCCAAACGCGGAAAATAGACCCCTGAACTTGTCAAGTTGTTCACCGCAGGTCCTTTTACCATCCGGCGCGGCCTCCAGGCGACGTGGCAGTGCCAGCGTGGCGGACGAAGCACGTGAGCCGCACGTTTCAACAACTTGACAAGCGAGCGTGGCAGGCCCGTTGAAACGTGCGGCTCACGTGCTTCGTCCGCCACGCTGGCACTGCCACGTCGCCTGGAGGCCGCGCCGGATGGGAAATGGACCTGCGGTGAACAACTTGACAAGTTCAAGGGTCTATTTTTCGCGTTTGTAAGTTCGTGGACCGGATTGGCACAGGCCGACAAGTTAAAGGGCCGCCAGTGTATTTCACTCAAATCCAAATGCCCACGGTTGGCATTCCATTGCAACCCATGCTGGTGGATACAAAGACACGTTCCACGCGAACAGTTCCATTAGAAGCACAAAAAAGAAATGGAAGGTCTGCTCCTTACACTTTGCTTTCCTAACCATTTCACCTAGAGAATGGCAATTATGTCGTGCGGCAAGTATGTTCCCTCGAATAGTGGATTCCCTTCAAGTGACTTCTGCTTTGATCTGAAATTGCATGGACTTGTATTAATGCTCTTTTGGCCCGTTTACCATTGTCCAATCATAGCTTCAGTACCCAAAAAAGGGATTAATTGCCTAGAGTGTATTGTTTATGCAAATCTATCTTTGTACCTAGAGAGATCCATTTGGCTTTGTCTTAAGAAATGGGAGTATCAAACTCTTTACTGAGGTACTCACACGACCATGACACCTGGGATGAAGCCTAAGTGTGCAGCCTCTCAACTGGAATCTCTACCAACCGTGTGATCGCTCAGTTTACTACAGGTTCCTATTGTTGCTAACTATGGTTTTTAGTTCGTTTTGTTTTAAGCAACAACTCTTAGGTCAATCATTCAGTATATGAATGTGGAACACTGCTTAAATTTGGTGGTACTGGGCAAGTGCGCTTTCTTACAACAGACTGTACACATGTTGTTCCTTTGTATTTGTGCCATTAAAATATTTCAAGGTACATTAGCTCATTGGGATTCGATGCAAAGGTGATACGTCTCACCTTTAAACTTTGTAATTTTTCCTTCTAATAGTTCTCAGGCAATTTACTGTGGTTGACCAACCAGCTTATTCATGGGAAATCATTCGCTGCTATGTGCTAGCAAATTGAGTAAATCCAGAAGTGTGTGCTAAAACACTGCTTTTTACTGTACTTTTGGATGTTCATTCATGCTACCGTCTACAACGTGTTATATGGTCCTTGCGAGTTATGACTTGTAACATGGTTTCTGTTTGCAGACCTTTGAAGATGTATTGAAATATTTCAAGGTTACCTGCCATACACTACCACGGTCTCAAGAACAGCTGCTCTTGAGGTAAATATGAGTTACAGGCTTACGGCCTAAGCAGCAGTAATCTGTTGTACAGAGTATTGAATGGCAAATCACTATACCTTTTGCAAATGGGACACCACAGATATATAGAGAGTAATTTCCTAGTCCTTTACTGGTGCAGATATGAACTACAGGAAGACCATTCCCTGCTTGAAGAATACCGGTTCACTTATGATGCTAGGTGGTTCAAGGATCAAATCCAGGAAGTCCTCAGCTTCTGGATAGGATCCCGCGAACCTAAATTTGTAGCCGAAGAGGAGAGGTGGAAGTGCTGTTTCTGCAAATTTGTGTCAGATTGCCCAATGATTGCTTCCATGCCAAGGTGTTGATGCTAACAAAAATTGCTCTGAATTGGTGGCTTGGCGAAATATTTGATGCTGAGTTCTGTAGCCTGGAGATAGTCTAGCTTTGGTCGCCTCTTTGTTTCCACAGGCGCGTATGTAATCTTAACATTTTGGGGTGGGGTAGTGTGTGTTGTATTTGGGGTCTCTCCCCCTTTTTCTTCTAAATATGAAGCGCAGTTCTCCTGCGTTTTTGAGAAAAGAAATATTTGATGCTGGGCTGAAGAACCAATCCTGCAGATGAATTTGAAATGTAGCTCATTGTTATTTGATTCCATATGCAGCTTTGTAACTCGTATATAATTGATTGGCAACATGATTCTATTCTTGTTTTACATACCATAATGAAGAAATCACTTAATATTATTTTATAAGATTTGAATTTGGATCGATGGATTGTTAGTGTATTTGGTTTTACATTTTTACATCTTCTCTGGAAACGGGGCTAGTGGTTTATAGACAGATATGAATTTGCGAGATAAAATAAGTAAATAGACTGCAGGGTAGCACACTTCATGGGGATCTTCTGAAAAAGAAGTATATGGCTCACATAAATAGAGGACCTGTTTACAAACAAACACCACATATTCTAGTGACAAATTGATATTTGTTTTACAGAAACAACAAATGGAATCAACTGGCAGGTACTGTGAATCTTATATAGCAAACAATGTGGTCGTAACGGGAAAACAATTCAAATCATTCATAGATCTGATATCACTTTTAAACTTCTGTTCATGGATGAAACATATCTTCATAATTCGCTTCCCCTCCTGGTACTTGTCATACGAGTCACTTGCTTCCACCATTGACTACCAAGGCCTCTGGCTGTGGTGGCGCAACAATGTCCTTCACTGCACTCTCCACCTTGGGAGGACCAGAATGCCGCCGCATTGGCGAGGCAGCCACAGTTCCACCTTGGAAGGACAACCTCTTCTTGACCGGTCCAGTAGAGCCTCCTTTCTCCGGTGTCTCTGCACCATTGGTCATTGCTGAGCCCTGGAGGCGAGATTTGGCTCTTGCAGATTCCGTGGGAACCATGTAGCTTGGGAGTGATGGGGAGCTTGCGAGGCTTTCATCGTCCCGCACAGTCGAGGTGGCTATACTGTGCCTCCTTGGTCGCTCAGACTGCACGCTGAGCACACTCCTAGCATCATCATCCACCTGTGAAACACCATTCTTTGGCGTGGCGGATTTCCTCCTGGCAGGTATTGGTGCCACTTTAGCAGATGGTGTCGAAGGGGATTGCCTGGAGGCTGGACGGGTCGGTTTTGGAGTTGGTGGTGATGGCTTTTCTGGCTTTGAGTCCCGGCGGTTGAAAGCTTTTGTGATTTCACCCTCTCCAAGGTTCAAGCTCATACTCTTAACGGATCCGCGGTCAATGTTGCTCTCCTTGTCAGCCCCATTGCAGCCCTCCCAAGGTTTTGCTGCCATCCAACGCTCCAACCAGCTCCAGCCCCACTGCAAGTTGTTTGGGTCTACAAACATTGGGTTGACAGATCTTGATGTACTCTTCCACTGTAAACAACACATTTCGAGACATTTTAAGCTTACCATCGTAGAGCCAGGATCAAGTATATATAGATTAGCATATGCTCTGAGAGCAGGAATTCCTACCTGATGTGAAAATGCATATGCAAGCGCTCTTTCTCTTCTTATCGCTGCTTCTTGCCTGCTTATCAGGCTTGCCTCGATTTGCTCCTTGGATTGAGTGCTGTCATCCCAGTTCTCACCCATCTGAGATAGCATTGTTCACAAACAGAATATCTTTAATTCTCTCAATAATATTTTAAAATTATCTCGAGGCTTAGAGCAAATCAGACAAAAATGCTACTAATATTAATTGAACAACACCAGCTCATGAAACTTTTACTGCAAAGCTTTGAGAAGGTTTGCATACTCTGAAATTCTCCAATTCCTGTTTAAGTAGGAGCTGGCGTTGGAGGGCCTGGTTCTCCTCGGACATCTTTGCTCTCCTAGAACGTATTTGTGACTGCACCCGCGATAGAGTTTGCATACAGCGCAGAGTGCTTGCAGATTGACGCTTGACTGAATTACCCTCAACCAATGACTTCAATCGAACAAGGCCTCGCAGTGCTCTTAGTGCCCTCCTTGCCTACATTATCACAATGACCAAACACTCAGCATAACATTGTTTGTAAAAGTAAGATTCTTGTTTTTTTTTTTTTTTTTTTTTTTTTGCGAAGCGTAAAAGTAAGATTATGCTTTACTATGAAACAAGTCAAATTTCCATGAAGTCATATTTCCCAGGGAACAGAAGTTAACGTTCACTAATTGCTATCTCAAGGATAGTTCAATAGCAGGACAGACAGGCTATCAGTATCAAAAAATAATTGAAAAGATCATCAAAATGAGTGATGAAAGGTGGCTGCCACCAACTGCCAGTTGTTCAAGAATCATTTTTCTAACACTTTGCAAGAATGATTTGTAGGCCCTTTGGACAAATGCACATTGACATAAACAATAGACAAACCTAAAAAGTAAACAGCTAACTGAAGGAGAGGAATTAAACTAGAGATTAACAGCTCCTCCAGGTTCAACTAAAGCAATAAAATCTACTTCTTTAGCCATAAATTCCCATTTAGCCCACAAAGTAGTTAGGTGAAAACATGACATGTAAATAGCTACAATATGCTAAGAGGTACCACTCCAAATTACAGTAACAGCAACTGGCCAACTAACACTTGCAAAGGTTGGCGAGCTGCCGACACCTAAAAGCTAGAACACGAAAAGAGAAAATATGCAGGGTAGCCACCAACACCAACAGACATTTGCTTGCATGCTCAGTCATGTCGATGTGGAAACGAAATCAGGAAAAAAACAAACCTCTTCCTAACCCCAAAATATCAAAGACCTAATCAGCAGCTACCAGAAACAAGCACTTCCATGTGCTATGTAATGCGACCATGTATCTATATAAACCAATTTCCAACTGTCACAATTGTTCTTATCTAAACATCTCAGGAAAAAAACAAACCAGGTCCAAATGGCACCTGAACAGGTGAATTCGGAAGAGATTTCACATTACCAGGTAACCTCGGAAGGCGGTCTGGATCTTGATTGCAGCGAGCTCTTCGGTTGGCACACCAGGTGGCAGCACCGACGCCTGTGCTGGGGCAGCAGGGGCCTCCTCCACGGTGACATGCTTGCTCTGCTCCTGCTCGGCTTCAGGGATCTTGACCTCCTCGGCCTGGTGAACAACTGGAGGAGGAGGAGCTGGAGGGGGTGGCACCGAAACATTGACTTCCAAGGAGGTAGATGGGGTCAGATCTAGCGGTGTTGGGTTGCTAGCTGCTGATTTCCTCCTTAGTCTCTGTTAATTTCAAGTGCAAAGTTTTGGTTTGTGATTATCAGAATTCAGGTCGAAGTTTAGTGATAAAACAAATGCAAGAAAAAAAAAAGGCGGCGCCTTGATCGCAGATCTGCAAGGGGAGGAAATGTCGTCTTGACAACAATGCTGTTGGAACTACAGAATGACAAACCAAAAATTCAATATTTTCTTTTCCATATGTAAAACACGAAAGCCCAATCGAAACGAGGACGGCGGCTGAGAAGTCTAGAAAAGGGCGAACAAGATGCCGGTTTTACCATGAATGAACAAACACTTGGACTGAAACTACTGAATTCTTCGGAATTGGGCGGAGGGAAACACGAACCCGATCAGATCCGAGTGAAAATGCTCCCCCAAAAATTCCAAAACGAAACCCGCAAAACACAAGAGAAATCCAAGGGGCCGGGGAAGCGTGGAGCATCACCTCCTCCTTCTTTTCCTTGGATTCAGGGCTGAAGACCCTCTTGACGGCGCCGAACCACTTGCCCTTCTTCCCCATGGCGCCACTCCACGCTCCTCCTCGAAACAGTCACCCTGGCACCTGGAGAGGAGCAAACAAGTCACGAACCAAACCACCTATCTGGAGACGACGGGTGTCAAACCACATACAAGTTTATCGGAAGAAGAAACGCCCAAATCTTCGCGCGGAAGCAAAGGGAAGGAAGGCGGGCGGCTAGAGACTAGAGTTTAGCTCTTTCGGTTGTGCGCAGGCAGAGGCGGGCGAGACGAAGGCGTCGTGGGGGGACAGCTGAGCTCCGCGGCAGCCTGCAATGCAATCATGTCGCGTGGGAGGCCGCGGGAGGTGGATGGAGGTGCGAGGAGCGGGGGCAGCAGGAGGAGCAGGCACCGGACAGCCGACGCCAACGAATTTTGGCTGGAGCTGACAGGGGTGCAGTGCAGGAGCTTTGGATGTTCGGAGGCTGCAACAGCTGGGAGCAGTGGCGACTGGCGAGAGAGGGAGAGCGAGCGAGCGAGCTGGAAGGAAGCGTGTGTACGTTACCTTGGTGAGTGTTGCGATGCGCCGCTCCTCCGCCGTCTCTTCCTCTCTCGCGATGATGTGGTGAGGAGTTTTTAGGGGGGAAAGCTGGAGACTTTGGACAGCTTGGAGACAGCAGGTGGGGGAGGAGGGGAAGGGGATGGTATTGAAATCTCCACTAGCAGTCGATTCTCCCTGTATACTCAAAAATAAAATTATTTTTGACAGCGACACGATCTTTAAAGTATTATTTTGACTCTTTATTTTTATAAAAATATTTATTAAAAAGTGATATATGTATATTTTTATGAAAGTATTTTTCAAGACAAATCTATTTATATAACTTTTATATTTTCAAACTCAACAACTTAAAAGTTATTCATGATTTATATTCCTAATATTTAACTCAAGTTTTATTCAAAACGACTTTATTTTTTAGTACGGACGGAGTATATGATTATTAGGGCTGAATGGTATCTCACGAGGCTGAGCCAGGATTTTCAAGGTGCATCATTTTTATGTACAGTATTTAAATATTAGGTTGCTCAATCTGTTTGGTGTGGTGCAAGCTGTGTTTGTTTGAATGGCTACATTTCTATCTGTCTTATTTAGGTGATGCAAAAAATGGCAATCAAATCTGACTCCACAGAGCTAAAGGTT